GCGGAAAAGAGCAAAACAGCAAGAGCAAAAGGGAGGAGTAGTGGCAACAAAGACAATAGGGAGCAAGTCTGTCTCCCTTACATTGCATTCAGGCTGCCCTAGGCTGGGTGTAGCACTCCCACCCACAATCCCAGCACTGGATCATGAATTAATCACAAACTCTGTAAGTTTACCCCATAACTGCATGAGTCTTTGGGGGTTCAACTAGACACAAACCATAACAGGTGTCTTGAGATCAAAGTGTTTAGAACATCTGCTTTGTACTCAATGAACTAGTTTGGTTCCCCTTGTTAGAGAAAGTGTGAATTTGTGATTCAAATTAGTTAATGATTTAAATAAGAAGTTTTGATTTGAGATAATTACTCAATGAAAACTTGATTTTGAAACAACTGTAATAAATTATAGTGGTTTGTTAATGTTTTTGGTTCCTGATTCCAGTACATGATTTTTACAGGTAATAGAAAAAAATGGAGTCATATTGGCTAAAAGGCTCTACCTCAATGAAAAAAGCTGGAATAGATATACTAAACATTTCATCACATTGCTGTCAAACAAGGTAAGGCACAACCCACATAAGTTATGAGAGAAAAGACTCTAACTATTGAGGGTTGAGACAATAAGGATTTGATTTTATAAATTTATAAATTTTTAAATATAGTTTTGTGTTTGTGCTTTATCATGGCCTGAATGAAAAAAATTTAAGAAAAGTGAGGGCCAGGGAGATGTCTCAGTAGAATGAGCGCTTCCCTGGCAAGCACAAGGGCCTGAGTTCAATCCCCGGTTCCGCCAAAAAAAAAAAAAAAAAAAAAAAGAATAATGCTTCTTAATTTTGTATATTGTTCTTCTATTGTAAATTAAAGCAATTTAAGTTTTATAATACTACAAAGTTATTCATAGTTCTGCTTATTCATACACTAAAATAAAAGTAAATAGCTATATTTATCGAAGTAGTTGTATCATTGATGTATTCTGTGTTATTTTATGAGAAATTAAATGAGTACAGGAGAGAGAAAAAGAGCTGGCATAGTGTGTTTCTACTCAGTCAAACCATTTACATCAATCATTTTCATTTAACTCTTAAAACAATTCTTTAAGAAATGCGCTGGTGTGCCAGGCATGGTGGCGCACATCTGTAATCCTAGCACTAGGAAGGCTGAGACAGGAGCATCATTGGCGAGTTAGAGGCCAGCCTGGGCTACAAAGTAAGCTTAAGGCCAGCCTGAACTACAAAGTGAGACTCTGTCTCAGAAAGACGAAATAAAAAAAAAAAAAAAAAAAAAAAAAAAAGGAAAAGAAAATTATGGTGATTTTCTTTTAAGAGTGATGAAAAATTAACTTCAAATAAAGTAAATTTTACTAAAAGTTATATAGCCAGTGAATCTGTAGGATTCATTTGGTTCTGTCTCATTTCATAATTCCTGTTCTTCCCAGTGAACTGTACTTGCCCCTGTGAAAGTCCTACAGAAAAATTAGGTTCACGTCAACAGGAAAAGCAATCTTGTCCCTGATACTGTGCTAATACTTTATGTACCATTGAAAACCTATCACCAAACTTTTTTAAGAAATCATGTCACTGATGTCTTAAAAGAGAAATGTTTTCTTTCTTTCAAGATTTATTTACTATGTATTTCTCTAGTTTTATATTATCACTCATACTTTCATGTATATGTTAAAAAAATACTTGCTATATAAATAAACAAGTTAATTTTATGCATTTTAGGACACTGCAGACCTTGCACTGTTGGAGAAATTAACACACAAATGGCAAAACCTAATGAACAAATTTAAACAGGATGTGGAACAGACTGAAGAGGGAACTAGGGAGAAATTGCAGATTGTTAAGAATGGCCTTATCAAATGGCAGGAGTTCTATGAAAATAAGTGAGTCCCTAAGAATCTTCTTTTCTTGATTATGTCATGTCTGAATAATTCTTTGCAATGTTCATTCTGTCTTTTTCTTTCCCCACATCCTTCCCTCCACCTTCTAATTACTTGAACATTGATTTTTATGGAGGTAACCAGAAGTTCTCCAGGAAAAATCTTGTTAAGGACCTTGAACACTCTGATAGTTTGTAGTGCTAATTATGTCTGTAGTAGCTCCTGACCACCCTGCTCAACTGTTGCTTCTTTAAGTCCAACCCTTTTATATCTTTTAAAAATAAAGTCAAATATTTCATTACTTTTGGAAAACTTGAGTATCAGGATCATCCTATCTGAAAATTCTACAGCACAGTGCATGTTCAGAAAGGGAGAATCAGTATGTAGCAATTATAGGGAAATGTATTTTGATTAAATATCATACTTTGAGGGCTGTTATTTGGATGGTTTGACTAAATGAATGAGTTGATGTTTCTCTCTTGTAGCTTTCAATGTAATTTCTTTGCTCTATAGTGTTAACATTTTAACTATGATAGGATGTGAGAGGGTTTTGGTTTTTTTTTTTTTTCTGAAAATGTTTATTTGGAGTTTTAGATGCTTCCCCTACCTGAATGTCCATATCTTTCTCAAGATTTGGGCAGTTATATGTTATTATTTCACTGAATAAATTTTATTAATTTAATCTTGATCTGAGCCCTTTTGGTATTCTACAGGTAATTAAATTTGGTTTTTAAAATTGCATCCAGAGTTCTTGCATTTTATCATAATTTGTTTTTTCTTTATTGTTGTCTAAGTGTAGTATTTTTTTACTTTGTCTTCAAATCCTCAGATTCTTTCTTCTGCTTGTTAAAACTTGTTTGTCAGGCTTTACATTGAATTATTTATTTGGTTTATTGGACTTTCTATTTTCAGACTTCTGTTTGGTTGTTTTTCAGAATCTAATTCTCTATGTATTCTTTCATATCCTGCGTCGCCTTCCTTTTTTCATCCTAATGTATATTTATATCTTTGAGTCTTTGATCATTTTTGACTATTCTTCATGTGATATTTTGTCTATCTATGCAGCTAGTGTGGAGGTATTATATTTTGCAAGTGTCATATTGTGTTCTTTTCATGTTTCTTGTGTTCTGTGTTGAGATTTGCACATCTCTTGGGATGGATATATCCTCCACTTTTACAGGAGTGGGTTTTTAAGAAGCAGCCTTCTCTGACAGTGTCCTTGGAGACTGAGTTTATTGTAAAGTGTTCTCACTGTATTTCCAAGTGGATTTCATAGTAAGGTTTCCTTGTTACTTTTTTCCTGGTACTTAAAAAATATTTTGACACATATGCACTGGCCACACTTTTACTGTAGGTTTCACAAAGTGGGGTCCTTCTTTTGGCTCAGAAAATTGTATTGTAGACCATGAACTGTATGTGTTACATTCTCTATGATTACTCCTCTAGTCTTGTCAACAATATACATCCTAAAAGGCATAAGTGACCTACACTGAGCTCCTGTGTACTTAGTCTTTGTGTTGTTTCTCTCTGAAGTTATTCTATTGGTGGATGCCCAAGAGCAGACTCCCTTTATCTCCAGGCTGTGGCCACTTGAGGCCTAGTTATCAGCTAGGGATTTTTATGTACCCTGTTCTTTGAATTAATATGCTGACCAAAGTTTGAGTGGAGTTGGGTTGTGCTTGGGGTAAGGTTTTATCTGTGTTGGATTTGTACCTCAGCATCAGGGTAAAAACTGTGTACTGTACTATGACGTCCATGACCTTAACAACAACCACTATGGAGTGGTAGGAGCTGATGAAAGTAGAAACTCAAGTTTTAAAAGATAGTAAAAATTTAGTTAATTAAGGAAGAAGACAATATGGGGAGAGAAACAAAAAGAAAAATTAGAGTGTTTGAAAAGAAAGAAAGCAAAATAAAGGTAGAAAGTGAAGACAGGAAAAAAAAAAAAAGACATCCTGGTACAAGTGTGCAGTCTCAGTCATCCAGAGGGCCAAGGCCAGAATGAATAACATAAGGTAAAAAAGAAAAGCAGAAGGATTGGGGAGGCAGTTCAGTGGCTCAGTAGCCCTGGGTTCTATTCCTAGCACCATATACACACATATGGCTACTCCTTGTGCCTACTCACAACCAAAGGCAAAGATGAAAATAAAATATATGTAAGTGAATCAGTAAAAATTTGGAAAAAGTGGAGTAGAAAAATAAAAAGTAGAAAATAAAGAGTAAAATAATCTGAGTATTAGAAGGAAAGTGTAGCAAATAAGGAATAAATTACAGAAACAGTATTAAAGAAAAACTACTACTTATGGCCAGGAGAGTATTGTTAACTCTGCCACTCTGTACTCTGGCCCGTGTTTTCTTGGGCTGTGCAACCCTTAGGAGTGGCATCTGGCATTGCATCTGCCTCGTTTTGTGCCTGGCTGCCAGTTAAAGGGGCTTGAGGCGCATGTTGGTTGGAGTGACTTGCAGCTTCCTGCTCACCACAGGCAAGGTTATACGGAACAGGACACTTCTTTGATGGAGTTTTCTCTGGAAGGATTAGTTCTGTGGACTTCCATGGGCAGAGTACTGCTGTGAAGCTCTTCTTGAGCTTCCAGTGTTATCTAAAATCTAAGTTGTGGGGGGCAGAACATTATGGACAGTCCTGTGCAATTCACTACAATGGTTCAGTCTCTATGTGGCTCAGTCCTCATATGCTGTCACATATGTCTCTTAGGTTTCAGACCCTTTCCCACCAGCCACCAGAGTGGCCAGTCACAAAGGACTAGGGAGCTCTGCTCTTTCCTTTGGTACCCACTGGAATCTCACTGAGAGAGGAAACCACCTCTTGGGGTAAAACTGGGCAACGATGGGTTAACTGTATCGCAAGGCTCCCTGAGGAAATGGCTGGTTGGAACTTTTGTCATGTACAAGAACAGCTTTGACTTGATGTCAGTAAGGGATAGCAGACTTGCAAAGCTCTGGCAGAA